CCCCAAAACCCCAAAACCCCAAGATTTCTAAATACGCAAATATTTCGGAAAATTAATTCAAGTCTTATAAATTAATAATGGGTTAATAAACTTCAAATTAGTTAAAAGATCGTGCAAGTAAAATAGAAAGTAATATTGCGACCCATCATTACTTAGTAAATTAAACTGAAAATATAGATGACCAGACTATAACGGCTAAAAATTGGATGAGTTAATTTCAAGATAGGAAATTAATGAGTTTATCATTGCCTGGAAGTCATAACTCAGGAACTTACTAAACAAAAGAATTTATTTGGGCCTTGTAGAATTATTCGAAATGTCAGAATGTTTCAATACTTAAATAACTTGAGATGGGAATTTGAGTGCTTGATATTAGAGCATCTAAATTCTACGAAAATAAAGAAGCTAAGAAGCACAAAAAGTTCGAATACTACTGTGGTCATTCTTTCTAAATGGTTCCTTTAGATATTGCCTTAGCTGACATTGTTAAATTTATTGATTAAAATCCTTCAGAAGTTATTGTAGTACTTCTAAGGACTGACTATTCACCAATAAAGTTAGACCTAAATATTTGCAAAATGCCAACTGGGTCTATTGTAAAAAAGATTAAAAAAGATTTTGATGCTTACATTAATTACGCAATGGATAAATTGGGTCATGAAAGAATTGCTTTAGATTTTAACAAAAATACCCGAATCAGAGATCTAGTTAACAAAGGGAAGAACTTGGTTCTTTTTGTTAACGGAAATCTCTATCCTTCGAAAAAAATAAATTAGAATGTCTCATGGAGTAAGACATTACATCGAAAGCCCCATCAGAATATAAAGCTTTGTAAAGATTGGTGTGATATGTAAAAAGCTATTGAGTTCGATCAAACTCATTCTGAAAGTCATATTGATTTAGACTAGATTCATTTAAATCAAGTGAGTGATCATGATTTATTTGAGTAATGCGATGAGTTTCATCAATTGACAGTGCAGATAACTTTGGAGGATATGAGTATCTTAAAATGGATTGGCGAAATTATTTTTAATAGGGATGATGGTTTAAGATACTATGCCAGTCAAAGTAACAAGCTTTTAGAAGATTGGTGCTCTCATCCTGAAGATCGTGCAAAATTAAGAAAAGTTCATGGAATTATGATGGATTACGTATATCCTGAAGTCTGCTAAAAAGTAATTGATATTAACAGTATTTGAATAATCATTAATCTTTGAATTATCTAGCATCATGGGGTTTTGGGGTTTTGGGGTTTTGGGGTTTTGGGG